GTGCCAGTCTATCGCTTTGACTGAGTTCCAATTCAGGGAGGCTTACCGTCGCTAAGCGGCCACCACAAGGGATGGCACTTGGAGTCCGACCCTCAGCGCCACCTTCCCTCCCGCTCTCCCGTGTGGGAGGGGCAGCTCCAGCAGCTCGTAGACTCACGGGGCCCCAGGCGAGGCAGACGTTTCCCATACACCAAGTGCAAAGTGGATTTTGCCTTGACGTAATTCAGGTCAGTTTATTGAAGATTTCAGTAACAAGAGGAATGTGGAAGACACTGCCCATCCCAAATAAATGTGAAGTACTTAGTCCATGTGTCCCCAGAAAAGACTTCCTGGGAAACAGAAATGCAAAGATTTCCTCAGTCAAAACTCCTGACATCAGAACACTATTCCCTGTTCCCATCCTCAAGCTCTTGCTAAAGCTTAAGTCAGCTTCCACTACAGTTTTTAGGGGATGGAGAACAAAGTGAACCTGGTGCTTCACACACAAACTCCTTAGAATCCTTGATGCATGGTCTCCCTCCCACCTTTCCTTCCTTCCTTCCTTTCCTTTTCTTTCTTTTTCTTTCTTTCTTTCTTTCTTTTCTTTCTTTCTTTCTTTCTTTCTTTTTCTTTCTTTCTTTCTTCTTTCTTTCTTTTTCTTTCCTTCCTTCCTTCCTTTCTTCTTTCCTTCCTTCCTTCCTTCCTTCCTTCCTTCCTTCCTATAAATATTTACTGAGAACTTCTTATATCCCAGCTACTGTTCTAGATGCTGGGGATAGAGTAGTGAACAAAATAGACAACACCCCAGCACTTGTAGGGGGAACCGACGGGCTGGGGCAGTGGGAGGAACAGACAATAAATGTTAACAAATGTTGCTGTGTGGTGATAAATGCACTGAGGAGAGTACAACAGGGGAAGGGGTACACGGTGCGATGGGAGAGGGTGGGAATTAACCAGGTGACATCTCAGTGGAGATGCGCAGGATGTGTGGCAGCCAGCCATCCAGGTATCTGAGGACCTGCAGGGTCCGGAGGGTCCCAGGCAGCAGGAACCAAAGGTGCGGGTGCTGGGGAACATGTGAGTGGCTTGACCCGGGAGTAGCTCCGTCAGGCAGGCTGATCAGGAGAGTGGGAGGATGTGTTAGGAAGAGTATGGCCCCGCCAAACCTGTCCACATCCTAATCCTGGGAACCTGGAAATGTTACCTTACACAGTAGCAGACACTCTGCAGATGTGATTCAGTTAAGGACCCTGAGATTGGGGGTTGTCCTGGAATATTCCAGTGAACACGACCACATGAGTCCTTAAAAGCAGAGCCCCTTTCCTGCTATGGTCCGAGGGAGACCAGACTGTGGAAGAAGAACCTGACATGCGACACTGTGGGCTTTGAAGATGGAGTAAGGACCACAAGCCAAGGAATGCAGGCAGGTTCTAGAAGGTGGAAAGTTGAGGAAACAGCTTCTCACCTAGAGCCTCCAGAAGAAGTGCAGCCCAGCTGACACCTTGATTTTAGCCCAGGGACACCTGCGTGGGACTGTAAGAGAATAAGTGTGTGTTGTGTGCAGCCACTAAGTCCGAGGTGATTTGCCACAGCTGTAAAGGAAGACCTAGCAGACGATGTCAGGGAGCAGGCTCTGGGTCAGGATGAGTTGGAGCCGCCTTGCAGCCACAGGAACGACTTCCTGTTTAGTCGAAGTGAGACAGGAGCCAGGGGACTGTTTTACACTGAGGAGGGTCCTCAGCCCAGAACAAAGTAGGCCTGGGGTTCACGTGCCAACTATCCTTGCTCTCTTTTATTCTTTAAAAAAAAGTGGGGGGTAGGGAGCGTGGACTGGATGACCCCTACATCTCCCTCTTCCTGAAACTCCATCCTGTGAGGGCTCCCAGACTGTTGGTCAATAACTACTGAACCATTTCTGGCCCAGCCCATTGAGGCATGATATCCCCACACCCACCCCAACCCTTGACATCTCAAACCACCCTCCATCACACAGGTCAGCCCATCTTAACGGTGTGACCTGAATGCTTCCTTCAATGAACACAGTTCATCACTGAAAGAGAACAGATCACTGAGAGGGGCAAACCAGGGAATAACTTTGAATTTTCAGTTCAAATATATCAGATAGGATCTCAACCCTCTGGGTAGAAGGTAAAAGAAAGTTAGAAGAGAGGAGTAAACCATTTGTGAGGGGGCGGGAATCATAGAGCCAGACAGACCTGCTGTTAGTAGCCTGGGGGAAGGGCCCAGGATAAGCCAGGAATAGAAACTGAGGGAAGCGTGGTGCAGACTAGAGACAATACTGGGGCCTTTGCAGAACCTGTGCATGGCGGGGGAGGGGGGGGATGTGCTGGGTGACTCGGTCAGTTAAGCGTCTGCCTTCGGCTCAGGTCATGGTCCCAGGGTCTTGGAATTGAGCCCCACGTAGGGCTCCCTGCTCAGCCGGGAGTCTGCTTTTCCCTCTGCTTCTCCCCCCACCCAGCCCCCATTGGCTTGTTCTCTCTCTCTCTCGCTCACTCTCTTTCTCTCAAATAAATAAATACAATCTTAAAAAGAACCTATGCATGAAACTAGAAACTGAACCTTGACCCTGTGAACAACCCTGGAAAGGATTCAGGCTGGAAATACCCTAAACTCACCTCTATGGAGCTATCAGGACTGGGACAAAGGGCAGGTAGGGAGAACGTTAACTGACCTCTGGTGAGGTCCTAGGCTGGGAAGTCTAACACAAGGGAAGGAAGTACTGTTGCCCCTTTTTATAGACTTTGAGGATCTTGCCCACGGATACGATCCCGTATGGATTCAGACCCCGGTCTTCCACGTCAGGACCTGTGGTCCCTCCACAGCTGTCATTGCTCATCTCATGGCCTGCTGCTAGGATCCACGGCAAAGCCTTGTGGTAGCCAGGCCTTTTGTTTCATTCTAAACAGCCTGTGTACACGACAACATGACTAACTTTAAGTTTAAATGCATTTTCACTGGGGCACCTGGCTGGCTCAGTCGGTAGAGCACGTGACTCTTGATCTCAGAGTTGTAGGTTCAAGCCCCATGTTGGGTGTAGAGATTGCTTAAAAAAAAAAAACAAACCTAAAAAAACAAAAGCGTTTTTACTTAACACTGCCCCCATGAGCCTTCCGGCAACTCTGAGATCTAGGCATCTTTATCAGCTTCCCTTTGCACAGGTGTGGAAACTAAGATAAAGTGACTTTGCACTCATTCCCCGCCCCCCCCTCCTCTTCCTAGCCCATCTGGCTCCCTGAGAACTAGACCCTCACCTGTTTCCTCAATGTGTAAGGACACTTCTAAGAAAAAGATGGATGATTGTAAGACATTAGATTGAATCATCTCACATTACTGATATTCAACCATTTTTTTTTTTTAAAGATTTTATTTATTTATTTGAGACAGAGAGAATGAGAGACAGAGAGCATGAGAGGGAGGAGGGTCAGAGGGAGAAGCAGACTCCCTGCCGAGCAGGGAGCCCGATGCGGGACTCGATCCCGGGACTCCAGGACCATGACCTGAGCCGAAGGCAGTCGCTTACCAACTGAGCCACCCAGGCGCCCGATATTCAACCATTTTTGACTAACAAAAATGCCAATTTCCTGTGGTTCAACCTAATAAATTAGACCTTAAAATGAAGATATTGATGCCAAGCGGAGACAGATGAAGCATAGGACACCTAGGTTCCTCGCTTTAGGTTACTAAGTATGCTCACCTGATATGGACAGAAAAAAAGCAGACATCTTTAGGACTGGAGGGGACCCTACAGGTAACTCAGGAAGATAGGGATGAAGGGTAACACAAATGCTCTTTTAGAATAAGCAGCAATATGAGTGACTGTAGGGAATAATCAGGAAGAAAGACGAGCCCATAGAGAGCCTCCAAGTAGAATTTGGTCGCCTCTAAGCTGTGCCCAGAGAGAAGGAGACCAGATCAGAGGTGCACGTGAGGGACTGGGGGGCACTGAACGTGCAGGGGTGAAGCTGGACAGCTGCAAGTTCCTAAATCCAAGGATGGCTAAGAGAACTTCTAAAACCACACACACATAATCACTTTAAACAAGTTAGGATTGTTGAATTTAATCCAAAATGTTTTGTCCTGCCCTAAGGAATTAATAAAAGATGTACATAGAAAAGGTACAGAAAAACTGTACCTTAGGAAAGAAGTGTCTAACATTTTATATGCACATTATTTTATTCTAGATAAAAATCAGGAGATGCAGCACGAGTATTAGGGGGGACTGGAGAAAGGAGAACAGGAGGAGGGGTGGGCAGAAAGCATCTGGATTTCAGCACGAAGAGGAATTCCTTACCATTAGAATTACACTAAAATGCAGCAGGCTTCTTCTAGAAGTAATGAGCTCCCAGTCCCTGGGAGTGCTCAAGTAATGCTTGGCTGGACTGTCAGAGACATTCAGAAGGGGCTCCCTATATTAGGGAGAGAGTGAACCAGAGGACCTTTAGTGTGCTTTCCACTTCTAAGATTCCAAGAGTCCATAAAAGCCAATGTTCTGAACTGAAATGAAATCTAATCAAGGACCACTTTTATTCAATTATAAAAAGAGAAATTTTAATTCTAACTTTTAATAATTCTGAAAAATGACTAGGAACTCCTTTTAGAATCTCTACCAATGCCTCTCCATCTATCTTAAAACACGCTTTTCTTTGAGAAGTATCAGCATGCAAGTTCGTTACATTTCTCACGCGAATGCACTAATTTTTGGTTTCAGTTGTTCTTATCCAGCAGTGTTGTGTTTTTTAAGGACAACTTCGTGGCCATTTTTTACTGCAAACATACTGTATTCAGCTATGTTATTCTTACACAGGATTTTATGGGCTAGCCTGGAAACCCACTCCCACGCCACTCTCACGTGTACAATTTTGTTGGGGAAAGTGAGTTCTGGTTTCCAAAGGGGTTCCCCCACAGCTGCTCGGTTACGGACGCACAAGCGGAGTAGGGGTGCAGACCAGTGGCTGTAGTTTCAACATGTCACTTTGTACCTGAAAGGAAACGTCTGGGGTCTATTCATCCTCCAGTTATTTTTCCCGCTTGCCGTGATGGATCCCTGTGGGTAGGCATATGGCGTCAGCTAAAATCTGAGCGTGGCTGCTCCTAATGCAGAATCGCACTGAAAACTAAGAGAGGGACTTTTGGCGGACTCTCCAGAGTCAGCAGGCAGGAGGAACCTTTTAGTCTCTGGATCTGACAGCAGAGGGGGTAGGAAAGGCCCATTTTGGTTCCTGGCAGCAGAAAGTACAGGAAGTTCCCATCCTGCAGCAAATCTGCTGGACAGGCTGGACCAGCTCCAGGGTTAGGCCGGCCCCTATCAGAAGTGGCCCTGCTTCGGCCTACTGTCCGGAGGGCCGATCAGAGTTTTTCTGCTCCAGCCGGGCACACCAGGACCTTTCTGGCTGGCAAGGCACCCACAGGTTAAAATCCCTCTAGGGAGGGAGCACACGAGGCCCGGGGTGGGAGGGAGAGTGAGAGAGAGCAGTGCGTCTGGCCACCTCTCTCTAAATGCTCATCCAGCTCGACTGGTTGAATAAAGGGCAGCCTCGTCAGAGGGAGGCACAGTGAACCTGAGTGCCTGTCTCAAGTGTCTTCAGAATTGGGAGGCCACAGAGCACCCTGGTGAAGAGGGAGACCTTGGGAAATGGATGGACCTGGCTGCAAATCGAGGTCCACCTCGTAAGTCACATAAGCTCGTGTCTTGGGGCAAGTTACCTAATCTTTCCAAGACTCACTTTCCTTGTCTATAAAATGAGAAAATAGTGTTGTTACTCGTATTAAGGCACTAACCCAGAAACCTGGCCCACAGGAAGGCTCAATAAACGTCAGGCGTTTTTATGAGTTGGCTGCAAACTTAACATATGTAGCACCCCAGACTCGCTCAGCATCTTCAGGCGGTTGGTACTCCAGAGCCCAGGTGTTTGGCTCCGTTCTGTACCTTCACACCCTCCACAGCCTGGGCAAGCTGGTCCTGAGGCCAGCTGGGGGATGACAGAGAAATCATCAGGACATCCCCTGGGACAGCACTCCCTGTGAAGAGGCCAGCGCCACCCTGGCCACTGCCCCTTTCCTCCAGGACATCGGCTCGTAGGGCTCACCTCCCTGGCCTAGGTTTTGCTAAGCAAAGAGGCCTTTCCTTATAGCTTGTCCAGGTGTGCAGCTGAAGCCAGCGAAGAAACCATGCAGGAAAGGAAAAGGAACACAGATGTCTTATGTAGCTCCACAGAGAAGCATCTAGACTGGTTTTTGGAGCCTGGGGCAGAGGCACCCAGGACCTATGCTTTTTTTTTTTTTTTTCCATTTAAACCATTTTTAAGTATACAGTTCAGTGGCTTTAAGTCACAACACGCCCATTGTTGTGCAACTACCATCACCATCCATCTCCGGAACTTATTTCACCTTGCAAAACTGAAACTCTGTCCCCATGAAACACTAACTCCCATTCCCCCTCTCCTTTCAGCCGCTCATAACCATCACTCCACTTTCTGTTTCTATGAATTTGACGACTCTAGGTACCTCATGTAAGCGGGACCATACAGTGTTTGTTCTTTGGTGATTGGCTTATTTCACTTAATATAATGTCTCTAAAGCGTATCCATGTTGTAGCAGATGTCAGATTTTCCTTCCTCTTTAAGGCTGGATAATATTCCATGCTCATGCATATAGCACATTTTATTTCTCCCTGTAGCCGCTGATGGACACTAGGGCTGCTTCTACCCTTTCACTGTTGTGAATGGCGCTGCTGTGAACACGGATGTGCAATAATCTCTCTGAGTCCCTGCTTTCAATTCTTTCAGGTGTATAGTCAGAAGTGGAATTCTGGATCGCGCCGTAATTCTATATTCAGTTTTTTAGGAACCCCACGCTGTTTTCCACAGCAGCTGCCCCATTTTACTTTCCCACAGCAGGGCACAGGGGTTCCAATTCCTCCATGTCTTCACCAGTGCCTGCTATTTTTCTGTGGTCTTCAATTTTAAAAAAATTTTTAAAGATTTATTTATGTATTGGAGAGAGAGAGAGAGAGCGGGGGGAGGGGCAGACAGAGGGAGAGAATCTGAAGCAGACTCTGAGCTGAAGGCTGAGCCCGACGTGGAGCTTGATCCCAGGACTGCGAGATCATGACCTGAACCAAAACCAAGAGTGGGTGGCTCAACTGATACGCTGCCCAGGCGCCCCAATTCGCTGGGGTTTTTTTTTTAAAAAAAATAGCTATCCTAATGGATATAAAATGGTACCTCATTGTAGTATTGATTTGCAGTTTCCTAATTGTTAGTGATGCTGCCCATGTTTTCATGTGCTTATTGGCCTTTTGTATATCTTCTCTGGAGAAATGTCTATCGAGTCCTTTGCCCATTTTTAAATCAAATTGTTTGTTGTTGTGTTGTAGGGGTTCTTTATATAACTTGCAGATTAATCCCTTCCAATTCATCTTTACTATCTCCTGGTAAAGGCGGCCAACCCCCTAAAGCAGGGACTCTCAACACTCATGGAACATCAGAATTACGAACGAACCAAAGAAATACTGATGCCCCAGGACCTTGGTGGTGCTGAATTAACTGGTCTGGGGTGGGGGTGTGAGGCATCAGAAGACTTTTAAAAAGTCTCCTCCGAGTGGTTCTCAGATGTATCCAGAGTTGAAACCCGTGGGAAGCACTGCCCTCCCCCACTCACTGCTCAGAAAGCGAGAGGGGATAGATTAGGAAGAGGAATGACGAGGTCCCACAGTGCCCAAGCCCAGTGAGGGGGGCAGCAAAGTCATAGGAAAAGCAGGGCCCCCACTTGGTCACACAGACTTATCATCAGTCCTGCCGCAGATATATCAGGAGGAAACAACCATCCACTGTCTCCGGAGAAGGCACGGGAACGAGAGACAAGAGAAAAGCCTTGAGCTGCCTGCAAGCCCGGTGGGCAGGGTGTGTGGTGGAGAGCTCTGGGCCGTGAGGTGGGAGCCTTGGTTCTACTCCAGCTTTGCCATCAACTTTCTCTGTGGCTTCTGAGGAGTCACCTTGCTCTCCTGTGCCCAAGAGTGCCCCTAGAAGAAAGGAAACTGGGTAGTGCTCTGCTTCTCAACCCTGGCTAGACCTTGGATTCACCTAAGGAGCATTTAGAAAACACTGACCCTCAGGTCCCACTCCAGAAATTCTGAATCCGGTTGTTTTAGGTGGCGACTGGGTGTTGTCATTTGGTAAAGCTTCCAGGTGATTCTATGTGGCCAGGGTTGAGAGCCGTGGTCTAGCAGTTCTCCCAAGTACCCTCCTCAGTGTTACCATTCCGAGGTTCTTCCGCCTCCATTTCCGGGGGCGACAGTCATGGCCTGAGCACTCACGTGGCACTTTGCACATCCTACAGATACTGCCCTCCTTCTCACAGCCCAGAGGAACACTGACCTGATGCTCTCTGCAAAGGTTAAGAGGACCAGTTCCCTTCTAAGAACTGAAAAAGAAACAGATTCCAACCTCTAGCGACATGGGATAAGGCCACAACCCCCAGAAGAATGTTTTATTCTCAGTCCAGCTGTGCATTGTGAGTTAGAGCGCCTGCTGGAGACAGATCAGCTGGGAGGAGAAAAGGCCAGGTGGCCGGCAGGCAGCCAGTCGGAATGGGGGAAGGAACAGTTTAACGAGTTTCGGCTAAGAAGCCAATACTCCCGGCAGGCCCTGAAGGGGGAGGGGGCTTTCCAAACTGGGGCGTGTGCACGAGTGCACATACTTTCAGATGAGGCCACGTTAGGGCCATGAGGGCTACTCCATGGCGCCCTGACTGCCAGGAACTGGACACCTATGTGTACTGAGCCCACACGGGGGAGAGGGTGGTGCGAGCTCACAGGCTGCCGTCCGAAGGCCCCGCTCATTGGCCTACGCTTGGAGAGAGAGGAACCAGCCTGCAAACAAACAGAGCCAAGGAAATGGGTGGTAGGCACTGGTAGGGGACGGCCTTTAAGAAGCCATGCTGGCTGGTGGAGAGAGCCAGAAAGTTCCATGTCTGCTTCCCTCCCTACTTTCTCTCTTGCCCTCTCTTTACCATCCCTCCTCCTTAGTGCCCCTTGTCTGTTACCTCTTCACCAACCCCTCTCCCTCTAGATTTTTCGCCCTGGATCACAGACCCCCTCTGACGGCTTTCTGGCTCTCTGCTTCTGCATGGCTGGCTTACTCCTGCCAGGCCCCACAAGCGGTAGGGGCCCACCTGGTGGGCGGCAAGGAGGGGACGCAGGGTCTCCCCAGCCACAGGCCGGGGAGGCCTGGCCTACGTCCGGAAGTCTCAGCTCTTCTCTGGAAGTAGAGTCCTTCCTGATGGAACCACCCACACCTGCAGACCTTCCCAGCACAGGATGCGCTGTCCTTGGTTTTGTCTCCAAAGATGGGGGTCGCTAGATGGGATGTGTGGGAGTTTGTAGCTATTTTGCTGACTAACCGATGACAAATGATGTAATAACTATAGCACATACTGCGTGCGTGCTGGGCACTGTTCCAAGTGCTGTGTGTATTTCACATCATCCACCCTCACAATTCTGGCCCCTTTGTGCCCCAGTTTCCCCTTGGTCAGACTTCAAACAGAGCCACATTCCCGAGTTTCACAGATCTTCTCTTCCTTGGTACGGTGAGTTTCTCCAGTGGCTACTTCAAAGGACCCAGGAGTTGTACCTGCAATTCAAACTCCAATTTCCTGACACTGTCCCCGCTCAGTCTTCAGAGAAAAGGGGGGAGAAGCAGGTGATGGCTGAACTGGGGGAAAGCGACACAGGTGGTGTGTGTGTGTGTGTGTGTGTGTGTGTGTGTGTAGAGAAAAGAATCAGGTTTTAGTTTCCAGTAAAACCCCAGGGACACCCTTGGAGGAGTCGGGCAGCACGAATAATGCAACCTGCTACTGCCATCTGGTGGACGAAAGGAGGAAGTCAGGCTGTGAAGGTGGACCAGATGGAACTCGAAAATCAGGATCATTTCAGCAATTTAATTAGCCTCAGTATGTACCAGGAAGTCTGTAGCGGGTCTCCGTGGTGACCCTGGTGTCCCTGCCTCCAAACAGGTCCCTGCCCTCTTTCCATTTCATAAATACCCAGCACGGGTCTTCACAGAAGGCGCCCCGACGTAGATCATCTGAGCAGTTAAGAAAATAAGCTCAGAACCAGGAGAACTTGGTGTCACCCTCTGAGCCTCAGTTTACTTAATGTAATGACTCAATGAAAGACTTCAAAGCCCCTGCCAGGCTTGTCTTTTTAAGTTAGTGGTTCTCATACTAGAGTGAGCATCAAAGTCCCCAGAGAGTTTGTTAAAACACTGACCATTGGCCCCTGCCCCCAGCATTTCTGACCCAGTAGGTCTGGATTGGAGTCTGAGAATTTGCATTTCTAAAGGTTCCCGAGGGATGCTGATGCTGCCAATCCAGAGACACCCCTCACCTTGGAGAATCACTGTTCTAAGTAGTTCAGCCTCCTTGGTGTAAGGGAAAAAGTGAATAAGCAAGCAAATAATTTATATAAAATAAATAACAGAGCTTACATAAAACAGAAGCCAGGGCTCAAATAACGTATCTATTAGAGCCCCATAAATAAGTGTCTCGTGGCCTGGCAGGGCCGAGGGGAGGGTCAAACCTGCCGGGGAGCCCAGAGTAGCTCTGGAGCAGGAGGGTATGGGTCAGCGCAGAAGGGAGAAGGCTAGACGCTGGCCAGAGGTACAAGAAGACTTTTCTGAATGTTGTGGGAGAGCTGGAAGAGGTCTTAGAGGCCATCTAATCCAGCTTTCATTTTAAGACGAAATGGACTCACAAAGGTTACATGACTTTTCCAAAGTCACACGGCCACTCGGTAGCTCTTTTTCTTCAAGTTCCCAACCCGCTCCCTTCACAAGCAGGTCCCAGAGGAATCCCACACGGTCCAACAGGTTCACAAGACCGGTTAGTTCCGCGATGTTCTGGGGTTAGGGTGGGCCAGCGCCCCAGCGGCCCTTGGCACGTGCCCGCCCCCTCAGTTCCCCCTACCTTTCACCAAGGGGAAGAAGCAGTCCATCTCCACGCTGCTTCGGGAATGGGAGATGCACAGGGCGCTGCTGGGAACCAGGCCCTCCTGGGGGGGGCTCCGTTCCGTGGTACGGACCAGACACCAGCCCGGCCGCTCGCTGGGCCGCTCCAGCAGCTCCACCGTCTGCCCCACCTGGATGGTCAGCTCGCTGCTGTGGCCTGCATTGAAGTCCTGGAGGACCACGGTCAACTCACATCCGCCAGAGAGCTTGGGGTAGGGTGTGGAGTGAAATGTGAGGGGTGGAGGGAGGAGATGGTGGGCCAGAGGGGAAGGGAGAAAGGATGCGTGTAGAGGAGAAGAGGAAGAGAGGAAGATAAAGGGGAAAGATGGGGTCCGGAGTGGAAAGAAGGCAGAAGATGGAAAAGGGAGTTGGGAACAGGAAAGAAAACAAGAAAATAAAGTAATTGACACAATGCCATTCAATCATCCCACCGCTCTAGCTCAGGCCACAGCCTGGAGCCTGCCCAGGACCGAGCTTGATTTTAATTCCTTCTTGTTCGCCTGGAGTTATTCTTATTTTCCTTTGCCAAGCTTCCATTTAACTGTGCCCTCCACCCCCTCCCCCAGTATGTCTCTTTACTTCTTCCCAGGGCACTACCTTTACCCCATCCCCGCCCCTGTGTCCACCCTCTGACACTTCCTGGGCACCATTTCTAACTCACACACTCTTACGTGCTTCTAGTTGAAATTTGGGAATAACGGAAGAGACGACCTCCTTCCTCCTAACCTTTGCAATCTTCCCTCTCCCCATCCCTAGCTGGACCCTCAGCTGAAAACAGAGGCTGCCAGTGACACAAAAAAGAAGGAGGCATCAAGTCCAAGGAGAAGCAGAACAGAAGGGGAACGGAGTTGGCTTACCTTAGCCCAGCCACTGGGGGCCAGGGGAAAGAATGGGAAGGGAAGAAGAGAGGTCACGTCGTACTTAGGAACCATCCTCAGTGCCCCATCGTGCCCTCCCCCTGGGCCTGGCCCTTCCCCACTGTACTGGTTCTGGGGCAGAACCAATAAAACTGCGGGGAGACACCCCAGGGTGAGAACTGCCTCTTCTAGCTGAAAGCCGAGACCTTCTCTTCTCACCACGAGAAACCACTAGTTATTAGTTTGTCTCACAGAGCTAAGCACAGAGCCTGTCTCTTGAAATAGCACCTGCACTTAGGGGCAGAATGAGCGGAAGAGAAGGGAAGAAATGGGAGACCCAGAGGCCCAGCTGGGTAGCCCGTTCTCCCCAGGGTTCAGCCCAGACAGTGGCTCAGTGGGACAGTCCCCCTACCGCCTCCAGGGAACCTGGCCTCAGTCTGTGCATCTCTAATGGAAGCCTCCAGGGCCTGCATTGTCTGCACCAGCAGCCGTACTAAGGCACTAGTCCAAATATATGGTGTAGCTATTTCACCTACAGCCTGGGAGGCTTCTGCTGAATGGAAAACACAGCAAGCATCCCAGTAAGTAGAGAATCAACAGTTCCACCAGGCCCCAGAGCTCAGCATCCCGGACTGTGAGAATTTCCTATTAAAGGAACTTGAACGTCACAGTGGGCTTGAGAAGCCGCACGATGCATCAGACTGAGAGTTGCCCTATGTATCGGCACCAACCACTGAGCAGGGAGCCTGCTCAAAACACAAGTCCGTGGAGGGGCATGGTACTGCCACTGAGATTTGATCAGGAAGAGAAGTCTGCAGGACAGAAGCTGCAAGAGGGAAAGCGACAGAAGAAGAAAACACGCTTGTTGGCTCCTTTTTCCATTTAACTTTCTTGGTCGCATTAAATGCACCGACTCTACCCTGTCCCCGTCTGGTGCTCTCTTCCCTAAAGCATCGTTTTGAGAAGAATGGTGTGGGATGGTGATCCCTCAAGTCTGCAGAGTGCTTTTACACTGTGCAAAGTACCTTCACATTAACTCTCCACAACGACCAGGTGCTGTTACCGCCTCCGCTCATCCAGCCAAAGAACTTCAAGCTCAGAAATGTCAAGATCATTGTTGACACAATGAGTGTGCATAAAAATTGCCTAAGGAGTTTATTAGACGTGCAGATGGCTTTGCTGGTTCCTCGCTTGCCCTAGCCCCCAGTCACAGGTTATGATTCAGGAGACCTAGGAATGCCTATTTTTAACAAGACTCCCCCAACTTATGATTCTGAAAAGGGGTTCCCTGAGATACTGCCTGAGAAACACTGGCTAGATGGTTTCCCATGGTCACCCAACTGGACTTGAAGCCGGCCCTGGACCACAAATCCCCTGTTCTTTACACCACATACCAGAGTAAATTATGTACAAGTTTTAGGCATGTTTGTGGTTAGAGGGGGTGGGAGGCAGGTGGAGAGAAGGCACCACTGGCCGGAGCTACTGGTCTTCTCGGGGTTGGCTCGGCCTGCATCAAGTTGCTTACACTTTTTGGACTGCAGTTTCTATCTTGACCAGTCTACACTAGGAACGGCTACATCACGGAAACACAAGTTTCACGGAGTTAAGTTCACTGATATTCTATTTCAGTTTTTTTTTCTCAGTTGCTGGTGGCATCCCACTAAGTTGACTCCACTTTCCACTAATGGAAATTTGTAGAATTTGCCAATTCCATTTGTAGGATGTTAGACTAGATGATCACAAAATTTCCTGCTAAGTCTGAGAATTTCTATCAATGAACTCTTATGCTTCAGTGGGGTCACTCCTCTGTGCCAACCTTAGGATTCTTTCCCAAGGTCAAGTGTGCACATGACCTGAGATGCAACTTGCAGCCCTTTCAGGGATGGAAATGGCCCTTTTGCAGACTGTTGCAGCGAAGCAGAGGGAGCCTGAGGCTCTGGTTACAAACAGCCCAGCATGACCCCAGACAGAGACCCACTGCCCCCCGTGGAGAAGTTACAGCCAGACCCACCCACAGGCAGGTGGGGGCTGTGGTGGGGGCAGGGGGAGGAGAGGATAAAGAGCCAGGCTGCGTGCCTCTATAATTCAAAGATCAAGAGAAACCTGGAAAACACCAGCAGATGGTGGTTTCTGCTTCCTGTGGGCTGCACAGGCCAGACAGACAGAGGAGAAAGTGGAAGAAAGATGATCAGTGGGCTCACAGACCCAGCCAAAACCCATTACGGCTCAAATATAGGATGAATGTCCTGGTTTGCCTCACCTCAGTGGCGTGGTCAAAGAGATTTACCACACTTGGTCCCCACTCCACAGCAACAAGGGATTTCCAAACAGTGGCGGCGAGGGGCTTAGGAGCAGTGGATGAGCCCGTGGTCGGGCAGAGCTGCCTCTGAAATCCCCCCTCAACCTCTCCCCAGAGCAACAGGGAAGCTTCAGGCTCCCCAGGGGACTCTGGGTTCACACCTGAGAAACCCTGCTTCAGAGAACCCAGGACTGGAATCAGAACTGGAAAGTTCGAAGAGCCCTTGCAAGGAGGGGCAGGGGCAGAGGGGCCAAAAGACCTTTGAGGAATCTTGGCACACTTGAAACATTTGTACTTGAAATCCTCAAAATCATTCATTCATGCCTCACGCTTTAAGTTTTCTCCTGGACTGAGATGAGTCACACCACCTACTGAACATTAATTACAGAGTGTGCCCCTCATTAACCAATAAAAAACAAATTCCTTCACAAATACTAAATGATCAGTTTCTTAGAAAAGTACACGTGCAGTTTTCTTTCTGAGCAGTTCTGCTGTGCGTCAGGAGGTCTGTCTCGCAGAGCCCCGGGGTCATTACTTTCTCTTCTTTCTCTTCCCATCTGGCAAGGACCAGTGACCGGTCCCCACTCGCCCTGTCCCTTCCCCCTTGCAGTGCTGCACTCCATTACAGTGGCACATTCAGGAAGTCCCCATTTCTCTCCCCGAGCTAAATCTCTGTCCCAGAAGATTAACTAGGTCTTCAGAGAATGTTGCAAAAAACACCTTTGTCTTCACCTCATTCTTCTCTTGCCCACAGCCTTTAAGAACTGTTTCAATGTCCCCCGCAAATCTTTAAAATGTTTTCTCAGTGAACCATTTGTTCCTATTTGACAGGCTGAGACCAGGGGGTGTGGAGGGAGGGGGCCCAACCTCTCCCCACTGCAGAGGTCCCAGGTGATTCAACAGGTGTCAGGAAGGGCTATCACACCCTGCTCAAAACTCCGAGGCTGCATCAGATTTGTACTGGTTATTTTCAAACTATTGGCTATGGATGCTTAACTTCCAATCTACCAATTTGATCCCACTCTAGATTATACGACCAAACTCATTCCCGGGAGGGAAACGTTGGGAGCCTTGAGTTGGTAGCACAGACTCTCAGCCTGAAGTCAGGTGTTTCTGAGTCTTCTCTTACTGTGCACTCCAGTTTCTATAATCTTTTCCCCCCTTATTCCCTCACTGTGCACCTCCCCCCCACCCCCAGAAGTCTCTGACTTGGCCCCTTCCTGGGAGCTTCTCAGGCATTTTCTTTTTCTTTCTTTCTTTTTTTTCTTTTTAGTGTTAGATTCTTTAATGTTTATTATTATTATTACTGTTATTATTAACATATAATGTATTATTTGTTTCAGGGGTACAGGTCTGTGATTCATCAGTCTTACACAATACACAGCGCTCACCACAACACAACACACATTTGCCTAGCTCCCTAGGACCTTGCGCAGGGCCTGCTAAACCTTTCTGATGCTAATCACTGCTTAGATTTCTGCAAGCCCCCGCCCTCACTGCTGAGCCATCATCTGATTCTCTTCCCCTGACTTTCCCAGCCTCTCTCCTTCCTAGGTCCTGACCATTTCCTGTGGAACCTGTTCCCGTGATACCCACTCCCTGGGTGGACTTTGTCCTCCCCGCTCCGAGGTGCTCCCGGGTAGCCCTCTCTCCAGCACAGAGGAAACACACACAGGACACTCCATAACCACCCTCATTCTCACTCACATTCACCAGAAACGATTGCTTTCATTTAGGTCCATTTTTGCTTGGTTATTATTTGGAGATTGCCTGAACTCCTCCTTCGTGTATAAACAGCATGAGCTAGATTAGCCCTAAGAACTTCCTTGTGTTATGGAAAAAGATCTGATTATTCCCTGTGGGGTTTCCAGTGGGGGGGATATTCAGAGAGGTAGAACACGACCCGCCCAGCATTCTACTGTTGTCATTTCAGGTCCCCAAGCTTCTGCCTGCCTCTTTGTCTCTACCAGACTCTCCTGAGGGCTATGGACTCTGGAGCCCCTCACTGGCTGTGTGACCAGGAGCAAGTCACTTAACCTCTTGGTCTCAG